TGTATAAAGTTTCTATGCTTGTGCAGATTCGGCCCAGAAGGCACCATCCTGTATATGCAGTTCTCACTGGTGGTTATTTCACGAACGAATGTTTTGACTTTGAATCAGTAAAATTTGATGCTCGAGTCAGCCATCTAGTTCTAGTGCGGTAAAAACAGTAAATTAATTTCTACCCCAATGGACTCCATCCAATTTCCCTCCCCACAAATTTTCTGATTTTTTTTTTTTTGGGTGTTTTACTCGTATATGTGACGGCGCATACCTAAATCATATATATATATATATATATTTGTGTGATACTACTATCTATGACTATCTTAGGTGGGATAGGAAAAATTTAAATATTTTGTTGGGACAAAAAGTGGGCCCCAAAATGTTCTTCTGTAGCTACCTACTATCGTAAGCTGCTGGCGATCAAAACTTGGGAGCAGTTAGCAAGTAGCAGTAGTAGTTACTATGTAGCACGTTTTCAAGATATTCTATGTTGAACAGTTTGCTTCTTGATCTCAAAGAAGGTGATGATCCATATATAAAGAAGCGGATGACGCGAGCGGGGTATAGTTATGGTTTTGAGGATTGGCAGACGTCAGCATTGGCCATTTTTCAAAGAGGAAAAATAAAATAAAAACTTGTATCAGCCTCATGCTCATGCAGTCATATTCCTTGAAGAGGCAGTCATGAATGTGTGAAATTGGAATGTAAGTGCTATCCCTCACGTCGTATTACTCGTAGTCATTTTCCGATGAAAGGGATGGAGGGAATTTCATTCCCAAAAGCTGCCCCAAAAGCTAACGGATGCTATATTGAGAAAACGCTAAAAGGGACCGGTCACTTGTGTTCTTGAAAGACTTGAGATTTACTTTCTTCAGTTTTCTCTCATATCACAAACAACGATTACACCACCACCACCCCACACACACACACACACACACACACAAAAACCCAAAACAAAAAATGATCTTTCTATTTATTTCATGCATGCATTCGCTCATTGCAAAACCTCGACTACTTCTCTTCCAAAATCTAATTACAATTTCTCTAACGACTGTTTTATATATAGACATACGTTAACATACATTTTAAGTGTTATATTTTTGAAAATATGAGATTAATTAGAAAAAGTACATAAATGCAAGAAAGGATAATAATTATTAATATATGTATATATATAATAAGTTAGGTGAATACTAGGTGTGCTAACGAGTTTAAAAAAAAAAACCCCATCTAAATATGCAGCCGCCATGCTCACATTCCTTGTCAAATACATGGTAAAATAGTCTTTTTGATGTGACATAATTATTTAAGGACATCAATCACATTCCTGGTCTGCATAACAAGATATTTAGGATTGAAAAGAGGAAAAAGGACTAATTAATTGGCAATAATTTTTTTTTTTTTAAAAAATCAAGTAAAGAAGTGAAGCAATTAAAATACTATCAAGTAAAGGATTGAACATCAAATTGTAGTTGAAGGTAGGAGGAATGTGATGTTGATCCGTATTATTCCTCTTGTTATTACTACTATTACCCATTAGTCTATTATTACTTTGTGATACATGTCTGCTACCTAGTCATGGAGAGAACGAGAAAGACTATATAGCATCTGTTTAGTATTGAATGAGACATTGGTGTAGCAGTTTTGTATTGTTTAGATCCATGTGATAAGTACCTCACGCTTTCGGAAACATTACGGAATAGTAATACTGCACTAGAGAGACACATTGGTACGGGCATGTACAAATAGAGTAACTAATTAAAACTAGCAATGTCATGAGTAGTTAATTAATTGAGGGTGTGCTGTGTTTATTCACGGTTTAGTGGGTTACATCTACAACTAATTAATGGATTCACAATCATAACTGTTTGAAAACTTTCTTCTCCAAATATATTATAGCAGTAATTAATTAAGAATCTCAGATCATTTCTCACACGAGAGACATCAAAGTCAAATGGTCGCTTCGTTTTTGCTTGAACAAAATGATACTAATATGTACTTGTATGATAAATTACAAATTCTAGTTCGCTCAACAATTTCATGCGCCATACTAGCAATAAGCTTCAATCAATATAGCCAAAATATCCATCCTAAAAAAAAAAAGATTATTATTTCCTAAACTGACAGTGTATACACTATCAGCGTTGAATGAATGATAACTATACAAATTTTGATTTTGAAATTTAATTTTTACACATGTGTCATAGATCCAACGGTGATAGTGTATTTACTCTCAGTGTATATAAGATCTACTCAAAAAAAAAAGAAAGAAAAAACCTCCACTGTACTCTCATTCTCTCCTGTGATTCAATCTAATGTTCTAAACACTTCATTGCTGTTTTTCAATGTTCCTTGACTTGACTTCAGATTGAGATTGAAAAAGGTCGATAAAACTTTTTGAAAGGTAAATAAATATTCCATGGTTTATCCTTCTTCTATATTTTTAGCACTGTCAAAAGCCAATACTCATTAGGTCGATAGTAACAATTGATATACCGACAATCAGTTGTATATTGTAAATGTGACGAAAGATGCTCACATCCAACGACATCAGGGCTTCGCAGAATTCCTGTTTTCTTTTCTTTCTTTGGGTGAGGTGAGGGGGTGTTTTTCACTCCACTTTGTTTACCCAGAAGCCTAAAGAACCCTAACTTGTTACTGTGGTCAAGGCAAATCTCCATGCATATAAAACATTATCATAAACACTTTAGGAAAAGCTACAGCTGTTCACAAAAGTATCGATCATATATACCGACCTACCTAATTTTTTTAAAAAAAATATATATATATATAGTCAGGAGCTGCAAGTACTGACATGTCCAACATGATTAGAAAAAGAGCATCGAAATTTACCTAAAATGGTGCTGATTTTTTTATTAGGAAAAATTAATTAAGCATATCTAATCTAATGCATGATATGAATTGGCGAGAAGCTGTCCAGGGAATGCGACTGCAAGACCTCCTCAAGAAACCTTGGCATGGACACCGTCCCTGTCTGCTTCAGACACAGAGAAGAGAATAGTTCCAGGGCTGATGGATAAATATTCATATGTGCTGCCAAAAGTTTTGTAAAGAATCATGTTAATGCGGGTAATTAAGAAGATCCTAATTTATCTGTAGCTATTGGTACGCGAGTCACCACAGCCATCATCATCACTCATCACTCATCACTCATCGCTCATCGGGGGACAAAAATGAAAAGCATGCATTAACAAATACTATAAAAATACTGTGCAGTCCTTTAGGGGAGAATCTTAGGAAGTTAGGGGTTCTTGGGAAATTAAATACTCTTGGAGACATGACAGTTGATGAGAAGAGCTGATGAGCCAAGAGATAGATTACTTGTACCTTCTGGAACGGAATTTTGTTTAGCCTGTTAATTAATGAACAAACAATTTTAGATGGAATACATCTAATTCCCGGAATTTGGCTTGATGTTTTCCACGGTCTTCGTGTTGTTCAAGAATATGGTTCTACAACTAGAATATATATATTTTTTTTCACAACTCAAGGAGATAGAGTAGAATGAAAGAACATGAGGAAATTGGCAACGAATCCCCTCCCTGGCACTAGCTAGTAGTGTTTGTTATTTGCACTTCAATTTGAACTAGAACGCTCGGCCTTCGCAAAGAATAATGGAGCCCTGCTGTTGAGAACCGAAGCACTGTTATCAATCCTAACGTTTTACCACACCACCTCATTTGTTTGCTAAATTGCATCATCAACACTTTTTTTAACCACCTTTTTATTTCACATACATTACATCAAAAAAATTTACAGCATTTGTTTCCGAAAATTAACCTAAATAATCCACTATCCAAACGCATATATTTCTTGGGGCAAATGCAGTTAAGTAATAAATACGGGATTGTAGGTAAACAAGTCTTTGGGAGCTCATGAAAACTCTAAATTTGTAGGGGAGTCGTTTCAAACTGAAGAAAGCGTTCAGCTGTGGGGAGGGGGAAGTAATAAAATAAAACGAGTTGAGTGTCATCCCTGGAAACTTCAACATTGTGTAATTTATCAGCACTAATATCAAATCCATTATATATATATATAAGAAAAATAGTATGAATTTGCTCGGTGGCCAGCATTCAGCAAGGACAATATCAATGGATACTAGAAGAAGATTATGTATGCTGGGTCGTTACGATGCTATGCTATCATTTTAATTTTCTTTTTTTTGCGGTAGGTAATGACTAATTAAACAATTGAAGGTTGAAATTTTCAAATTTCAAATACAGATGGCCAAGCTGAAATCAAGAGCATATAAACAGAGGCAATAAGACACAGTATGATATTAGTAGGAATTAGATTTTCTTGATTGAAGCCCACTTTATTGATTAAAAAAAAAAGTAGATGCAATGTTATTATAACTTTTTTGGGCATTAAGTAGGTGTCATGGTGGTTGGCCATATGTGCTACTTGGCCTTTTAATTGCTTTATCTTCAAACTCTATCATCCAGCCACAAAAAATACCAATTCAAGATATTGGAAAGAAAAAAAAGGAAATGAGAAAGAAGAAAGACAAAAGAGCAATCAATAATGAAAGAGGGGACCCTCTCTCTATCCCTTCCCCCCTAATGCTACTCCATAGTAGATCACCATCATCATCATCTTCTTCTCCTCCTCCGATATTTCTACCCGTTTGTATTTAAAAAATTTATTATTATTAATTTCTGATGATATTATATTAACAACCTGCATAATCTTTAGTGGAGGGGGACATTTCCTCGTTTTTCAGCTGTTTGTATCTTCTGACACACTTTGATGATAGCATTGATTTTACATATATGTAACGAAACAAAGACACACACACACACACACATAGTCGCACACATAAACCCATCTACATCTATATCTTTCTCACTCTGAAAAGTTCTTAGTAGCTCATCAAACAACGCAGGTGCCTGGCCTGCCTGCATCAAATGATTTGCAAAACAAGGTCAAATCACTCCCCTTCTTTGATCAATTCGCAGGTACTTCACCCCTCCAAGTCTCCAACTAGCCAATAGAAAGTAAAAATAAAAAAAAAAAAGAAACGAAAAATCCCACAGCAAGAAAGAAAGAAAGAAAAAGGGAGGATGACATCAAGAAATTGGTAAATCTTTAGCATACATGAGGCAAGAGTTCATAGTAATATCATGTGGGACTGGACTTCCTTTCTTTCCTTGCTTCTTAATTTGAAGGGAGTGGAATTTTCCTCCTCCGTCCTATCGTAACAATACTAAGAAAAAGAAATGGTACCTAGCTACTCAAGTGTGTGGATAAATGAGTGAATAAAGATGAGCATCTTTTTCTCTACCTTTTTAGCCCCATCTCTCTTTGATCTCTCACTCTCTCTCTCTCTCTCCCCCCACCCCCACCTCGCCCTCCAAAACACTGCCCACCTTCACTTCCGTTTTTTCCCTGTCAAGTTGGGAGGGATAGGAAGAGTTATTGATTTGAGTCCGACAGCAGAGAAGTAAAGGGACTACTGAGTGAGTGAGAGATATATACATATACATATACATATATATATCATCCCATCTCAGCTGCTACAACAATCTATAGAGAGATATATAAAGATCGCCTAGGTAAGCTTGGTATAGACTATAGACATAAAGGTATGGCCTCTCTATGGTCTTCAACTTGATGCATCTTTTCTCATGTAATTTAGCCATAAAACTGCATGCTCTTTTTAACCCCCTCCCTTTCTTTTTCTCTTTCTCTCTCACTCGCAATCTGATATGGTTTTTTTCTGTCACTGTATCTCAAAATTCTTCTTACTTTGTTGCAGCAGATGATGTTAATGACGGAACACGTGCCATACGAGAGTTTCGAACCACAGGGTACGTACCAATTAATTTATGATATATTAACTATGTATACATCATTCCAGATATCTGTCTTTTCTGATTTTCTCCTCCTCTCCTCTCCCTATATGTATTGTTTCCGACTTTTCTCTCTTCTTCCCAAATCCCGTGCTCCTTTTCAATATCTAAAGGAACCCTGAGTAGAAATTATTAGAATAGAAACTGAAACTGATGATCCCAAATCCCAAGTTATCATGTTCAAGATTAATCCTGCAGTTTGTTCCACTGATTGATCGACCAGCCAGGCGGCTTAGGTATGGGGACTGTTTATGTTAATCATTGGTTTATCCTCCTCTGCAATTTTCAGGCCTTATCTGATCAGAAGACTAGCTTCAAGCCTTCCGAGTCTCCACCGTCAATTTAAGAGCTTTTTAACCTCTTTCGGAACAGTAGTCCCAGCAGCTGGAGGACCAACCGAATGGGTTGAATACTATGTCGACCAACTAGGTTGTTTAAGAGCTTCATATGACCAACAGGTACATACGCGCGTGTGTGTATATATGTGAGTAGCAGCAAGCTAACTCGTAGTAGTATTATATTTCTATATAAGATGTGTGGATGATGGAAATTTTTTTTTTTTTGGTTATGGGGGTGGGTGTGTATTCGGGGGTATTTAACTATTTATTGGGATTGGATGTGAAATGAAGTGAAGGCTAACGTAGTCTCTTTCCATTGATGTAGTACTAGTTTGTAGGAACAGGAAAAAGAAGGTAATTCAGCAAAAAAAGATAAAAGAGAGTCCGATCACGATGGCGACGTACTTTCATGGGAATTCGGAAATCCAAGGAGGCGGCGGGGATCATGGCTTGCAAACTCTGATTCTCATGAACCATGCTGGCTACGTCGGTGGATACTCTGACACACATCAACCGCCGCCTCACGTCCAAGTCCAAGTCCAACCACCAAGCAACTTCGTTTTCCTCAACTCCTCCAACACTCCTGGACCTTCAGCAGCACCTGGAGCCAACTCTCTGAACGTTCCCCACGCGCCACCTCCTCCTTCCCCCACGCAACAGTTTGTCGGCATCCCTCTCACCGCCACCGCAGCTACCTCATCCCATGACCACCAACCTCACGCTGCGTCTGTGCAAGACATCTCAGCCCTTCACGCCTTCCTCCCTCGCCTCCAGTACAACCTGTACAGCCCAGCCATGGACCTTGGGGCGGCGCGTGAAGTGTCACGCGCCCAGCAAGGACTCTCCTTGAGCCTCTCTTCTCAACAGCCTGCGTACGGGTCCTTTAGGCCTGAAGGTGAAATCCCATCACAGCCTCTGGTTACGGCCATATCTCCAACTGGCGGGGATGACGTGAGGGTTTCTGGGGGATCATCCTCCTCGGCCTCGGGGATTTCCAACGGAGTGAACGGCATGCAAAGTGTGCTATTGAGTTCTAAGTACTTGAAGGCAGCTCAAGAGCTCCTTGATGAAGTTGTCAATGTTGGCAAGGGAGTAAAAAGTGGTGCGGCAACTGCTAAAGGTGCTAATGGGCAGGCCAAGGAGATAGGAGAGTCATCCGAGATGACGGCCACTGCCGGAGAAGGTCAGAATGGAAGAGAGAACAGTGCCAAGCGCAGTGCCGAGCTTACCACCGCCGAGAGACAGGAAATACAGATGAAGAAAGCAAAGCTGGTTAACATGCTTGATGAGGTAAGGCTATTTTTCGGTCTGTTGATGTTGTGCTCTATGGTGTAGAGAAGCCAAGATTTGATTTTGAAAGCATGCAAGCATAGTACTATAAACGATAAACTGAAAGTGATTTTCAACTTTGAAGCAACTACGTTAAGGCTTCAACTGTGGTTTATTTTCTTTTGTTGTGAAAACGGCCCCAAGGGTACGGAAGGCTGAGTCAGGTCTCCATCACTTTGAGTGGGATATCAGATCTTTGCAGGAGTAGCTATCAAATAATCATGATCTCATGAAAATTTCCCTTCAATAATTCCTTTCTCGAAAATCTAACTGGAGTTCTCTACCTTACTTTTTAAAATTTTTTTTTTTTTAACACTACTATTACTCCGTACTACTGGTTGAATTTTCCGTATAAAAAATGATTTTATAACAACAATGCCATTTTACAGCGGGGAAGTTACATTGGGGCCGAGAAAGGCAAAATCCCCTCTTTTTAAGTGGAGATATTGGTGTGTGTATGTCTTAAATTCTGTCACAATTAATTGTTTGCTTTGAAATCTAATAGTATTCTCATTGTTTGTTTTAGGTGGATGAGATGAATTGCTTGAGAGTTACAGACGCAGAAATGAGCACATTGACAGGTAGGTGGGGAGCTAGGGATCGATGAAGAAGAGCAGAAGCTGAACAAGGGATTGCGCTCTTAGCTACTCGGTGGAAGGGGCGGACATCTTAGCTGCTGGTATTATGTGAATGAGGGGGCCATCTGGTATTGGTCCCTGCACTCTTTTCCACTGCTGATGACAACACCACGAAAACACGACGGGACGCACACACCACACACACTGAACCCACGCGGCCATCGTCCCCTGTGAAGGTGCCCCAAGGCCCAGTGACACGAGCACGAGCCAAGAGATTCAAGGAGTCCCTTCAAGCCTTGGTACGTGCAGTCCAAACCCAAGAGAAACCGGTCATTGAAGGAATTGAGTTGGAATATCCTTGCACGACTACTAAAATGCTGCTTACAATTGAAGATGCAAATGTTCAAGCTCCAAACGGCGGGCTTAGCCGCAGTTAAGTACCCTCGCTGAGCCGTACGGGGGTCTCGCTGTCCGATCAGCGAGTCGGGGGTCCAAGGGGGCGACGCGCCCCTGGCTTGGGGGCCCGGGGGCGCAGCGAAGCCCCCGGTGGGGGTTCGGGGGCAACGCCACCGAAGCTTATGATCTATAGTTAGTTGGGCTAGCTTTCGGTCAAGTGAAGGCCCAAGGGGCTGGCCGAACTTTCCTTGTTATTTTTCCAGTTTATTAGGTCTTAGTCACGGCTATTAATAGCCTCAAGCCGCATGTTACATTCAGTTTTTGAGAGTATTGAATAAAATTTCCAGAATTTCGTCCATTCCTTGTGGGAAATTCCCTTAGCTTGTAAAAGCTAAGTTGAACATCCTAGAGTTGATCCTAGGCTGTTCTTGACTTATCAATCAAGCACACATACTTGATTGTGTCGTCCTCTACCGTTAAATCTGTTCTTGAGTGGTCCAAGTTCGGGTTCAACTCCGTCAAATCTTCATCGTGTTCCTCTAGATCCGAAGTAGCTTCCGCGTCTCGTATCAGCTGGTATCAGAGCTAGTTAGAGGTATCACGAATATCCTTTTTATCGTTTTTAGATCTATTTTAGTCTTCTAAATTCGTAGCTCAAGTGCTCGGGTTTGTCAAGTCCGAAATCTGTCTTTGTTGTTTCCTTGTCAGAAATCTGTCTTGGTTGTTTCCTTGTCAGAAATCTGTCTTTGTTGTTTAGTTGTTGTCCGAAATTTTCTGTCCAGTTTTGTCTTGTGTTTATGTTCTGTTTAAATCCAGAAAAAAAAAATCTCTTGTGTTGCATACCTTATTGTCATTCCCTTGAGTCGTTGCTGGAATTAATTGCTGGGTTGCCGAATCTGTTTGCACTTGTTTCTTGAACCTTTGTGTTGTTGCTTTGCAAAACTCGAACATCAAAACCTTATTGGGGAAGTCTTGAGCTTCTTGGATCAAAGAGGTTAATCTTGGCAGTCTTGAAACCTGAAATAAACCTTCAACCGTGTTCTTGTTTTCATGGAACTTTGATCTTGAAACCAAATCTGTCCAAGTTGTTTACGTTAATTGCTGTGAAATTGTGGTCTAAGCTAGCTGGCTATTGTGTGAAAACACCCCAACAGAAGTCAAAAAAAATTTCAAGAAAGACGGCTCTAGTTTCCAATTCTTGACCAGCCTTCAAGTTTTACCAAATCTGATTCAAACTTGGACTTTCAAATCTGAACAGCCCTAGTCTTGGTCAGCATTCAAGCCACCAAATCTGATTCAAACTTGGACTTCCAAATCTGAACAACATCCAATTCTTGACAGCCTACAAGTTTACCAAATTTTGTGCAAAATCTGACTTCCAAATCTGACCAGCCCCAAAATTTCGAATTTGGACCACTTGGGACTCCCAAATCTGACCAAACTCCACGGTTTCTAATCTTGGCAACCCCAAGTGTCCAAATCAGATCACGGACCAAAAAGACCACGGACCAGCAGCTCAACACATTCCAGAAATTTGGGTTTCGGGTAGAGTTTTCTAGGATTTTCAAAATTTCAGCATTCAAGTTAATTGTCTTACTTTCTTTTGAGTCGTTAGTTATTGTCCAGCTATATTCTGAGTCTTGAGTCGTGTCTAGGTCTTCAGTCATTCACCTCCACTTATTGCTACTAGCTTGTGTGTCACTTGTTGACTAGTCAAGAACGTACACTGCGGTGACGCCTCGTTTGTTCAACTCGAGCAACTAGCAAGCCAAGGAATTGCTTGGTAAGATTATTAGAGAGTGATACACTTGAGTGAAACACGAGTGTGAGTGACCTATACATTGTATTAAAAAAAAAAAAAAAGAGAGGAAATCGTTTTTGTTTATTTGTTTTGCAGGTGAACTAAATATGTCTAGTGGAGTGGGTAGCCAAACCATGGACATCAAACTACAGTTGGAAGCCATGATGGGGGAGTTCAAACGATTGCTTAAGAATGAAATTGAACCATTGCATGATCGAATTGATCAGTTGGAGAACTCGAGACCTCCACCTACCCCGAGTAAGGGCAAAGAATCGGCATACTCAAACGATGAAGAGGAAGCGTTTGAGGGAAGGTACCAAAATGATCAAAGGTTCCAACGTCGAGGAGATGACACCATTAAAGGTGTCAAACTCAAGATTCCCTCATTCCAAGGCAAGTCGGACCCCGAGGCGTACTTGGAATGCGAACGAAAAATTGAGTTAGTCTATGAATGCCACACCTATACGGAGGAGCAAAAGGTGAAACTAGCAGCCGTAGAATTCACTGACTACGCCTCCATTTGGTGGGACCAACTTAGACTAAGCCGAAGGAGAAATCGTGAGAGACCTGTGGAAACTTGGGAGGAAATGAGGAGTCTGATGAGAAAAAGGTTTGTTCCGAGCTACTATAGTTGAGATCTACACCGTCGGCTACAAGCTCTCAACCAAGGGTCCATGTCAGTTGAGGATTATTACAAGGAGATGGAAATGGCCATCATGAAGGCGGATTTGCGTGAAGATGGAGAGGCCACTATGGCTCGTTTTCTACATGGATTGAGGCCCGAGATTGCCGAAGTAGTGGAACTCCAACACTACCTCGACATGAATGAAATGCTCGAGAAGGCGGTTACAATTGAACGACGCCTCAAGAGGAGGGGTACTGCGCGACAAAGCACTACTTATCCAGCTGGAAATTGGCGCACTTCTCAACCAAAAAGGGAGGAGAAAGCCGCAGCTCCTTCTTACCCTCCAAGGCCGAATGGCCTCCCTTCCAAGGCAACGCCCAAGCCTGACTTTAAGGCTAATAATGCAGCTACCAAACCGCGTGGTCGAGACACCAAGTGTTTTAAGTGTCAAGGATTTGGCCATATCGCTTCTCAATGCCCCAGCCAAAGGACCATGCTGATGTTGCCAAATGGGGAAATTGTATCAGATGAGGAAGAGGAGTACGAGGGGATACCGCCTCTAGAAGAGGAAGAGAATGAATCGAGTGAGGAGATACCTACGCATGAGGAGATTGGATGCCTAGTGGTTCGAAAAGTCCTCACTACCCGCGCCAAAGAGGAGGAACTGGAGGTACAACGGGACAACCTTTTCTACACAAGGTGTCATATCAAGGATAAGGTGTGTAGTGTTGTTATTGATAGTGAGAGTTGTGCCAATGTCGCTAGTCTACTCATGGTAGAAATGCTAGGGCTCCAAGTTATCAAACATCCAAGACCTTATCGCCTTCAATGGTTGAACAATGAAGGGGAAGTCCGCGTGTTTAGACAAGTAAAAGTGCCATTCCGAATTGGCAAGTATGAAGACGAGGTTACTTGTGATGTCGTGCCAATGCAAGCAAGTCACCTCATTCTTGGACGGCCTTGGCAATATGATCGCGATGTCGAATTCAAGGGAAGAGCTAATAAATATGTCTTTACTCATTGCAATAGAAAGGTGACACTTGTACCTCTCACCCCAAAACAAGTGTATGAAGATCAAATGAGGCTCCAAAGGGAGTATGAGCTAGAACTTGAGAGGAAAAAGCGAGAGAAAAGTGAGGAAGAAAAAGGAGAGAGTAGGGCCGAAACCCTAGGGAAGAAAAAGGCAACAAGTGGGTCGGCTATGAGAGAAGAAAATAAGGGGAAGCTAAGCTTGCTAGCAAAAGCCAAAGATGTAAGGCGAGCTTTGTCTTCCAACCAACTCTTACTTGTGCTTGTGTGCAAAGAAGAGTTGGTCACTTCATCCATACCCACTGACTCCTTGCCTTATACTATTTTACCTCTCTTGCAGGAATTTGAGGACATATTTCCTGAGGATGTACCTGATGGACTACCACCGCTAAGGGGAATCGAGCACCAAATCGATCTCATTCCTGGAGCACCATTGCCTAACAAACCAGCCTATAGAATGGGTCCTGAGGAAACAAAGGAATTGCAAAGGCAAGTGGAGGAATTGCTAAGGAAAGGTTGGGCTAGAGAAAGTCTAAGTCCATGCGCTGTACCAGTGATTCTCGTGCCAAAGAAAGATGGAGCGTGGAGAATGTGCACCGACTGTCGAGCAGTCAATGCAATCACGGTAAAATATCGTCACCCTATCCCTAGGTTAGATGATATGTTAGATGAATTGCATGGTGCCATTATATTCACTAAAATTGATTTGAAAAGTGGTTACCACCAAATAAGAATGAAAGAGGGAGATGAGTGGAAAACCGCTTTCAAAACTAAACATGGTCTATACGAGTGGTTAGTAATGCCATTTGGCTTAACTAATGCACCTAGTACCTTCATGCGTTTGATGAACCATGTTTTGAGACCTTTTCTTGGGAAATTTGTAGTGGTTTACTTTGATGATATTCTGATTTATAGTAGAAGCTTAGAGGA